GAAGTTTTTAAATTACAAATTTATTTCTAACTAAACATTCCCCTGGACAAGACGATCACTAAGAAGTACCAAGCTTGAATATCCCAAAATACTATATAAGGATGAAGTGCATAAACTACTGTTTAATTTTAAAATTTACACATTTTGATAAGCAAAGTGGTTTAAAATATTCACGAAGGCCACAGATTACCCACAATTATGAAAAATACCATAACATGTTCTATTGTGTCCTAAATTTAATATTTGCGAGTTTGTGAGTTAGATGACATGTGCGCGTGCTGGAAAGGTTTCTTTCCCTAATGTGTCTGGTGCCTATAAAACTGGTCTCAAACATCTGGAAAGATTGGGTTTACAAAATAAAGATGGAATAAAAAGGAGTCCACAATTAAATAACATGTTCAGCAATTGGGTAATCAGTTCACAAACTTGAATTTCCCTGATGTATTGTTGAACAAACTGCCTGGAGCAGATTTTCACATCTACTTTCTGAATGTTTTCCATAACTGAGAAACTCATATGGTCTCTTTTTTTCTTTCCTGCCTCCTGGGGATAGAAACTTGGCAACTGTGCTTGGGGTATTTTAATCAGGTAAGTTTTCCTGGCTCTTCCTGTTAATCACAATGAACAGCACAGCATAGCTTTTGCTTGCAATATGAAACAGAGTATTATACTCAAGATGAAGTTCATAACCCTTTATTAGTCCTTTCCCCTGTCATCTCTCCACTGAATGGGAGCTTTTTTGGCAAGAAGCATGCTGAGCCCCAGAGCTAGCAAACTGAGACACATCGTTTCCTTCACTAATAAAGCAGGCAGTGCTAACTAACTAAGATCACCACCATCATCATTCAGGATGCAAACAACTGTGGCTGGGTTTATTCGGCAGGGAGAAGGAAAGGTTCTCATAAACCTAGCAGGCTTAACGAGATCTTTAATGCCACAGACTTTTGAGACAGCATCTGGAGTCCAATATCAAAATAGCTGACTGGGGAATTTGAGCATTTCAGGTTTTTACTCTCTCTGCACAGCGCCTGTGGGGAGGATGGAAGTGAAAAAACATCAACTTTCCTCTTTATCTCTGCTCCCTGTCACGGGTAGTACCTGACCACTCTTTAGCAGTCTTCTTTGTTTCTTAGTTAAAAACCCTAGCAATAAAATAAAGAGAATGGAACCAAATACTAACTTAAAAATACACAAAAATCTAATTCAAACAAGCAGCCAGGACCCAAGGCAATCACTAAAAGAGGATGCCTGGAAAACAGAACGCTCACTGCCAGGATGAGAACTGTCTTTTCCTTAAGGTGTAGAAGTTCCCACTGTCTCCTTTCCTGTCTCTCTCTTTGTCTCACAAAGAGACATTATTAATGGGATATACAAGACTAACAAAAAATTAAGTTTCTATTTTTACATGAGACAACACCTAAAAACTCTAACAGAGTCTCCTGGAAGTGTTACACAGTTGTAAGAAGGAAGAGGAAGAGTTGCCGTCAGACAGACATGGGTTCAAACCTTGATTTTACCACTTCAAGTTCTATGAGGTTAGTCAGTGTGCTTATTAAACTCTTTGAGCTTCAATTTCCTCATTTGTAAAAATTCTGGTTCTACTAACAATGAAAGGGAATTACTGCAAGAATTCAATAACATACGTAAAACAACAAGCACAGAGATGATATATAATAATTTGTTAATATATGGTAGACATTTTTATTATTATCTGATTATCCCCATTCTCCTACTTAAACCACTTGACTCTGTATTAATCACTGGACCATCAAACAAATGTGCATTGGTCACTTACTGTATACCTAGTACTTAAACATCAGCAAAGAATTTAAAATTTCTAGTTCACAAGCCTTAATGGTACAAACATTTATTGAGCACTTACTCTACACCCAGCACTCTCTGGGCACTGATTTACTTGTATGATTTCATTTAATTCCTAAAGCATCTCTTTGTGGTAGATAGTAGATACTATTAACTGCAATTCTTAAATAATGTTCATATGCTGTAATTTAGAGATCTCAACACTCTAAAGGCAAGAGAAGGAAAGCTTTATTTTATGATTTAGAACAACTTTGCAGAGTACTAATTATAACATATGGCAGAATATGAGGGATACTCTTAACCCTTCATCTTACAGATCAAGGATGCTGAAAAGTTTGAATGATTTGCTCAAAACCATGTAGCAAATACATTCTTAATTTTTCTTGTAGGCTATCAAATCCTGTGATCAGATTACCAGATTGTTCCTAAAGAAATTCTTTCCCTGAAAGAGATATGAAGCAAAAATAACAAAACATTAACACTGGTTGATTTTGCAGTTGGAGACAAATATTTGTAGCTTTTTCCCGAGTTTTTCTGTACCTTTAAATTTTCTGATTAAAAAGACTGCCTCCCTTGCCCATGTACTTTCATTTTCAAAGCAGTTATATCATCAACCTTTATACATGCCAGGTTTCTAAAAACCCTAGGCCTCAAATTTTTCTTTCTTTCTTTTTTAATGACAGTAAGGCAAAACAAAGTAATTTAGGTTAAATTTCACAGGTAAAAGATGTATGCAATTCTCTAGAAGTCTTGGCAGTTTCTTCATAATTTAATTCTTCCCCTAATGAACTACATTCTGTAAATCTTAAAATAATGGAAGGTTCAAAAACAAAACAAAACAAAAAAATTTTTTTTCTGCCCGTGCTGCGCAGCTTCCGGGATCTTAGTTCCCCAACCAGGGACTGAACCTGCACCCTCGGCAGTGAAAGCACGGAATCCTAACCACTGGACCGGCAGGGAATTCCCCCCCAATTTTTTAAAAACAAGAAATAATAAGATCTCTAATGCCTCAACCTTCAAAAAGGCCTCTTCATCAAAACAGAAGCAATTCCACATCACTTGCTTCACCCCTTGACACAGAACACAAATATGTGAAATATTTTTCTTCATGTCATTTCTGTATACAAGGACAGCATACTAAGACAGACATCATTTCCCACAAAGATCCAAAGAGAAACACACAGTAGCTTGAAGTTTACAACTGGTTATTTAGAGCTGGTCAAACAAGACAAGTATAGGGCATTCACTTTCTATTACAGCAGAACTTACAAAAGTTAGGCGATGTTGAGAAGTGAAAGAGATTAGGACAGGAGTTCAGATAATGATTCAACAGACGGTCAGGGGGTCAGTGAGCAAGGAGGAAGGAATGGAAGTGAGGGAAGCTCCTGCTTTGGAACACAGGCTGTACACTAACAAATGACAATGCTTTAATACTATTTCTGAATTTGGGCTGCTGGGTTTTGGTTTCAGGCAACTGTTCTTATACAGCTATTGGAAGATTTTTGGCTAATGAGTTAATCGTGTTGTCAGCTTCCATTAACTTGGCAAAATGAAAATGACTTGTAATTTTTCCTCACTGCTTTAGCTTTCAGAAATGGCTATGAGCTACTTCATTTGTCACCCACAAAAATATTACTGTCTCCTGCCAAGATCAGCACCAGGGAGTGTCATTAATAGCACTGCTTTGATAAAAACCTGGGCACCACATACCCCTCAGGCTCAAAACAGAGCTCTGTGTCTGGCCAAGTGTGAATTTAGTAGACCCTTCGAATGTGAAATGCAATGAATGAGGTTTTCCCTTTTTCCACTGTAAGCTTACACTTCTTGGAGTCACCACTTTCTTGGTCCTAGAAGAACTACCATAGTTGGCCAAACCATCTAGAACCCCAAATAACCATAACTCATCAGCCTGCTGTTTCGGTTCTCACACTGTGTTTCCGTATTAACTCTAAAACTACTTGGATGATTTTTGGAGACACTGATGCTAAGTCTGAATGCTATTACAAACCTGTCAAAACACATTCACACACTGCCTCACTTCCTCCTCTCAAAATTCAAATGAATGGCTACAACTCATCTCTGTCACCCCCAGCCTGCTCCTCGCACCCGTGTCCCCTGTCTCCAGGGGGCCATCTCTATCCATCCTGTGGGTCAAGGCACAAACCCAGAAGCCATCCTTGATTCCTCCTTCTCTTGACCATCATCCAGTCAACACACGAGGCTGCTACTTCCTTCTGGTTCCACCTCCTAAGCTCAGGTGACCATCACCTCCTGCCTGGACCACAGCAGCAGCCTCTGGGGACCAGACCTTAGCTTCTCCACACAATAGCACTGCCCTACTTAAAACTTTGCTGACACTCCACTACCATTAGGTCAAGTCCAGACACGTATAAGGCCCTTCACCACCTGAACCCTTGTGCAGCACTCTCCCCTGTTCTTTCCTTACTAACCTAAACGTATCACTGAACTTCTTGGATCTTGCTAAGCATGACAAGCTTTTCCATACATCCATGCTGCTACTCTGACTTAGCCTCCACTTAGAGGTTATCTCCCACAGGAAAGCAACACAATACCCCCCTACCCGCACTTCCCACCCTACCTAGGCCGGGTTATAAACCTGTCCTGTGCGTCCCCACAAAACCCCGAGTTCACGTCCCTTATTCCCTACTGTCATTGCCCTACTTGTCATTTGTCTCCATCAGAGTAGAAGCAAAGTGAGGCAAAGGATAATATTTTATTTATAACTATCCCTAGAGCCTGGCTCTAGTGCCCAACATATGCTTCTTAGTAGGTGCTCAATAAATGTTTCTTGAATCAATAAAGGCACAGATTTTATTCAATTTTACAAATGAGAAACCCGAGGCAGAAAGCAGTCGAGGCACTTACCTAAAGTCACAGCCTAGTTGAAAGAAGAGCTGAGACTAAAGCCTGAGCCTCGTGAATCCTGGCCCTGCAGGAGACAGGCCACCATATTTCACTGGTTCAAATTCGCAGACTGAACAAGCCAGTGCAATAGAGGATGAATATTGACAAGTGGAAGCGAATCTGAACGACAGCTTCCCCTATGACCCACACAGAATAAGCATCACATTCCACAGGCCTTCAAGCCACTGCATTCTCAGACAGATGCCCAGCTTTTCTGAAATCATAAACCTGATTTCAAAGGCCGTATGCCATACCTTTCTCCTCTGTCACATGTCGAAGTAACTTCTCAAGTTCAGGAAGTTTCAGCAACAAGATGCAATTCGGAAACATGTCATCCATCACAACTTGTTCCAGGGGCTGAAACTTTCCCTGAAAAAAAAGACTTTAGTCAGTCAGGATGCAAGTACTCCAGTCAACAAACTCATACATTAAAAAAAAGAGACAAAGATATATAACCTCATAGCTGGACCTTTAAACTAAATTCAAAGTCACTTGTTCCACCTAAGGATTCCCTTAACGGGACAGGCTCCAGAACTGACTCTCGGCTCCCTTTAGGAAGCTCTTGAAAGCGCCTGGGTTCCATCAAGTGGCAAGAAATGTTTTAATTTAAATGTTCTCTTTTCCCTTCAGATAGTAAGAATAATTCACGGGTTTCCCAAGTTACTGTCTTTAGATTCCTACCTTAATCTATATTCTTCCATGATCACCCAATGTGTTAAATATTTAACTACTTTAAAACAATATTTTACTAATATGTAATGGACTACCACACAGTCTTGACATCATCATTTCATAATACACTAACGTTTCATTCTTGTTTTCTTTACCATATATACATAAAAAGGTTTTGCAATAAGAAACTTGTTTGGATATAAAGTTAATAACAGTTGGGAGAGCTAGACAGAAGAATTATTTTTACTGACGTTAAAATAAATCATGTTTAACAAAGAATGGGTCAACATTTTGAAAGTACATACTAATATTTTTTTAATTAAATAGGAAAAGATCACATCTAAAATGTAGGGGAGGAAATATCTGAATGCCTCACGGGCTATTTTAAGGGGCACTTTAAGTATTTGAGAAGAGAGAGCAAGATGGTTTACAGTGAAAGCCAACTACCACCATGAGCTTCATTCTGCATCTGCCTCCCTGAACCAGCCACAGCACCCCCAGAGCCTCCCAGAGGGCCAGGGTGAGGATTAATTCACCAGAGTCAGGGTCTTAATGGGAAATGGGCAAACAGTTCCCCCAAATGGGGGGAGGGCCTTTAAAGGTGCATCAACACAGGTATTGATACTAAGGCTGGTTGGTGGCTTCCTCCCGCTAATGTATCCTAGAAACACCAGGAATGGGAGCCACCTGAAGTTTCCATCTTCTTCCCTGAATACTGCTAGGGCCTTCCTGGTAGGGACTAGAACCGTTTCTGCTCCTTAGAGATACACGGCTCACCGGCCTCACTGCTCGCCGTGCCCTAATTATAGCGGCTACCGTAGTAGCTTCCAGGTAAGAGGAAACATGATTAAACTAAGGAATAAAACTTCACTAATCCACAATAAAGAACAAAGAATGTAGGAGAGGAGGAGAATAAGAGACGACAAGGTGCATCAGGAGAAAGCACCACCTAAAGTTTTAAGTCAGTTTTATTACTCTCGGTATTTATCACAAATTAAGTCAATATAAATACAAAACACGAGTTTTGGAGAATGGATCTAAGTACTCAGTGAGAACCCATAAGCACTTAAACTATTTGCAGACATGAGAGTGCAAAAATAAGATTCCTCTAAGTGTTTAAATAACACCCTTCCTTAAAGTTGTCATTTCGAAGGTTTTCAAGCTGTGGTTGGTGGATCCCTGGGAGATACAGTACCCCTGCAGGGGCTCCACAAGCTCCAAACTATTCTCAAGCTAAGGCTACAATGCTATTTGCATTTTCACTGTGTCAACATTTGCACTGATGATTTCAATCCAAAGGTGGGTAAAAGCCCTGGCTCCTCAGCACCAGTCAGGGTGGTGCCAGCAAACCGTCCAGCAGCCACTGCACTCTTCACTGCCATGGACGAGCAGGTAAAAAAATCCCAGCTGCACTTAAGGGTCTCCTTGATCAAACTGCCATGGACGAGCAGGTAAAAAATCCCAGCTGCACTTAAGGGTCTCCTTGATCAAGGAGCGAAAGCAATTTCTTTTATTTAAATCTTGACCTTGGGGTGCAAGTAGGTTAAATGCTCTGTGTGATGAAAGTCAAGTGTGGCTGAAGTACTTCGGCTATCGCCGAGGCTCAGGGATCATCTCAAGGAAAAGCGCTGTGTGACTGTCCAAGTTGCGAGCAGAACTAGCTCCCTTTTTCTCAGTTTTTTACCCAAAAGAACCACTATGAACTATGGTTATTCAGACTTGAGTACTGACAGAACATAAATGAAGTGAACCTGTCACTTCAAGGGAAAGATTGACAGTGCTTGTAGCCAACGATAAAATTTGAACTTTAAAGCAAAAATTAGAATTGTAGAGAATTTGTCTGCCACTATGACAAGCTTCCCAACACTCAGTTTTCTAAAGAGATCACTGGTAATATTAAATTAACAAAGGTGTGTGCGTGTGCGTGTATGTGTGTGTGTGTGTGTGTGTGTGTGTGTGTAATAAGTTGTGTAGACATTTGGAAGACCTGCATAATTCAGTGAGACAATATTTTCCAAATGACCAATGCATGATATTGCAAAGTAATATGCGTGAAAGATCCAATAGATTTTAACATAAGAGAGTGTTAAAAACCAGACAGCAGGCCCAAAATGGAGTCGTTTGTGCTAAGCCCAAACAGAGACTTAATTTAATTAGTTTCAGCTCACCCAGAAGAGGAATCTTAAACCAGCCAATCAGTAATCTGCTAAGGAGCACTAGCCAGGTCATTTGCCTGATAGACGCCAGGCATGCCCTAAAGAAACGTGACCTTGCCATAACCAATCCCCCTTTAGTCTAGTTGAACTTTCTTGTTCTTATTCCCTTCTGGCTGTAAAAGTTTTTCATTTTGTACAGTTCCTTGGAGCTTCTTTCTGTCTGCTAGAATAGATGCTGCCCGATTCGTGAATCATTCAAGAAAGCCAATAAGATCTTTAAAATTTACTCATTTGAATTTTGTTTTTTAACAAGAACACGGAAAGTTCATTGACAGGGTTTCAGATTCCACACTGCAACTAACTTTTAAGAAACCACTACTTGTTGGTTTTTGGAGTAGTATCAAAGCAGAGTATCCACAACTATCTAAAAGGCTAATATACAATTCCTTCCTTTTCTGACCTCATATGTGAAAGGCTGCATATTCTTTACACACTTCCACTCAAACAGTGTATGGAAACAGACCGAATGCAGAACAAGATGTGAAAATCCAGTTGTCTTCTCTCAAGCCAGACATCAAAGAGATTTGCAAAAATGTAAAACAGTACCATACTCCTCACTGACTTTTACTGTTTGTTTCATTAGAAACATGTCATGTGTTAATATATAATGGGCTTATTATTTTTATTTTAAAAATAAATTAATAAAATTATTTTTAAATTTCTCAGTTTCAATTTCTAATGTAGTCAATATTGATAGATAAAACACACAGGAACAAAAAGTTCTTTGGGATCCTTAATAATTGTCAACTGTAAAGGTATCCTGGGACCTTTGGCTGGAACTATTACTATTAATAAACTCTGTCTTATATCACAAAGGTAAATTTTACTCCATCTGGGATTCCTCAACTACAGCTTCCCCATTAAGGAGCTTTTGCTGGACACACCCCCAGAGTACCTATTTCACAGTGTCTCACACAGAAGAAAATGAAAGACGATAAATCTTCTTTATTCTCTTAAGGCCTGAGGTCTTAACATTTGTACTGTATTTCAAAACTAATGAGTACGTAATGAGAATTTCATTGTTAGACTTTGTCAAACAAGTAAGGCAGATAACACAAAGGGTTAGGCAGTTCTCAGGACTCGTTGGTGAGCTAATGATGCTGGATCTCAGGTCTGCCGATCAGTGCTCTGATCTGTACCAGCACACATGATATAGGTGTTGTATACCAACCAAGTTAAATCTGAACTGTGGGGAGTCTACATTTGGACCATTATAAGGAGAGAGAGGAGATCATGTTAAAAAAAACAATCTATTCTGTTTCCCCACTGTTAATATCCCAAACTGGGAAACTCACCTCTCTATCAGCCTTTATAAGGTAGTGGAGAAGCAGAAACAGAGGGTCCATGGGTGTGGCAAAGTGAAGAAGACCTCCTACAGATTAAAAAGAGAATTCAACAACATGGAAAGACAACTTAGTTATTTCACCTTAATCCCAATGTGGGAACCATTCATTGAAAAATATATGTGAAATTCCAAATTCAGAAGCTCCTCCTACACAGGCCCAAGATTATGTGATTCTCTCAAAAGGCAGAACATGGTCCACGAGATTTCACTCCAAACAGCTTCAAATCCCTGGTGTGGAGAGGACAGCCAAGACACTGAACTTGATCTTTAACTTTCCATTTCTTTTTTAGAAATCATTTTTAATAGAGGCCCTCCTCTCCCCACCTCCCACCCCCTGCCAAAAAAAAATAGCAGGGTTCGGGGGAATACAGACAGAATGTGAATCAGGCAAACATTAGGAAACCTGTATAAGTCTATCTACAAAGCTGCAGTAAAATGTAATTTCCTGTGCTTTTGAGGAGGAAGCCATGGGAAAGCAATATTATTTCCTCTGTACGTGGCTTCTCCTATGGGCTCTGGGCTCACAGCTCTGAACTGTCAATGACTCAAAGCTCAGAGGTCGCCAGAAACTACCCCATCCCTCCTCCCAAAGAAAAATGCAAGAGGGCAGGAGTCTAACAAGACTGAGCATAAGAAACTGGAATCTCTGCAGTAAGATGAGTGGTGCTCTCCACGCTGAAAGGAAAAAAGGCAAATCAACTAGGCTGCCTGCGCCCCACTTTTCTCTACCGCACTCCCCTCCAAGCATCCCAGAGTCCTTCTTCCATGGAAGTGAACCAGAAGAGGTATTTCATCAAAAAGAACAATAAACAATTCATCTCCATGCTTATTAATTTGGTTTCAGGAAACATGTACTGACTTTTATTCTCTAACAGAGCAACCTACCTATACAGCCAAGAAATTCTAACTGTAAATTATATACATGAATCCATTTCACAGTATGTTGAAAAAAAATTAAGGACGTAATTTTACATGATGACATTAGTTAATTATTTTTTTTTAAGTAGAAGAGAAGTTTATGAAACAACCTATCAGAAGCTCTAAGCTCAGTTTATATGAGGCATCCATTATATTCAGAAATTAGAAACAGGTTTCTTGTTCTGAAAACAATATCCTGGTAGCCATTCTTAAAAACAGCTCTTTCTGGGCTTCCCTGGTGGTGCAGTGGTTGAAAGTCCGCCTGCCGATGTGGGGGACGTGGGTTCGTGCCCCGGTCTGGGAAGATCCCACATGCTGCGGGGCGGCTGGGCCCGTGAGCCATGGCCGCTGAGCCTGCGCGTCCGGAGCCTGTGCTCCGCAACGGGAGAGACCCGCGTACCGCAAAACAAAACAAAAACAAAAACAGCTCTTTCTTTAAGGTTACGTTTAAAAAGAAGACAATGATGAAAAAAGCAGGTACCTTTGCTGTGAACCAAAAACTATAAAAAAAAAAAAAAAGGTCTATTAAAAAAAAAAAAAAAAAGAGCAGGTACCAAGTCAGACAGTCCAGGAGAGCTAATCAATCACTGCTTCTGAATATTTTCCAGTTTCATCTGGATATTACTGTGTCTATCCAGCCAAACTCAAAGGCAAGTATACTACATTAGAAGTGGGAACTCTCATATATTGCCAAATGAAAAATAAGAAAAGAGAACAATAAAAAGGAATGTATACTTGGCACCTACCAGGCTAAATACACAGTCTACCGCTGCATTTCGGCAACTGAAAACCACTTCAAATCTTCATATACCATGCACACAGGTATATGAAATTCAACACCAGCAATAAACTCTTCTTCTGTATGCCTTACAAGAAAGGCAAAGTGGCCTTCCTACCTTAGCACTAAGCGGTGACTTAGACGGTCAACAGAAAGCAGAGGGCTTAGAAAGCAATGGAAAGCACTCTCTGCAAACGGCGAGAGACAGAGGGACAGAGGGAACTGAGACACCCCACGACGCACCCTCCCACTCTCACCCAGAACTGTCAGGACTACGTGTGGCACCCTTTTGTCTTCCGAGTCAACGCTGAGCCCCAAATCAAAGGAACGCTCTTAAAAGAAATAGAAATTGGGTGTTGGGTGTGTGTGCTGGGGGCAGGTGGGGTGGCCATAGTAATTTATATGAGAAAGCATTCTCTTCTCTTCTATTTTATTCTAGAAGCTATATCAACATCCATTTGCAAGGAAATAAGATGTTAAAAACTTGAAGATCCTCAAAAATGGATAAGAGCAAAGAGTTTCCAGTGAACACAATGTGCACTCCGTAGTACAAAAGTCATCTGACTCGGGGTGTGTCAGTGTTTTAGGAGAAAAATCAGAATTGTTAGTTAAAAATTTCCTACCATCTAAGACACACAGTTATTGATCTAAACTTGTTTAAATCTTTCCTTTCTCCTTGATTAAACCCTGCTCTGACGCCAACAAAGAAAAAGCCATGGACCAGACTCCAAACTGGGCAGATAGATGTAAAGGACGGCAAAGTCAGGGTATGTGTTAATGTAAATATATACACTAGTCACTTACCTGATTGAACCGATTCATTTATAAACCAAGAATGGTTTTTTTCCTTGAAAACTTTTATTTCAAACAGCTGTGGTAGACACACATTGAACAAGTAAATGGCTCCTTCCCCTGTTAAAACAAATCTGTTTTTTATTTGTAAGTTTTCACACACACACACACAAATATCAAAAGACTATCTAATAGTTCTGAGGAATGCTCCTAATATGAACATAAACATACATAGATATAGTCTATACAAAGTGACTCCAAGGAAAGCTTGTAGCTATTACATACAGATGCTTGTTTTCCAACTGTATAATCCTCACTGAACTTAGACCAATAAACACAAAAGTACAAATCATTTATCTTAACTGCTACAGAGCCTCTCATTGAGTCCTCTATCAGATCAGGAAGAAAAACCCATTCTTAAACTACCCAAACCTAATGGCTCAGCCAGATGAACTGAGTTGGCCTGTGGGCCCTGTCTCCAGGGCGGTGTACAGCCTCCCATACAGAGGGCGGGAGACAGGGCCTGCACACCTGAGGCGAGCTCCACAGGAGAAAGGCCAGGGCCCTACAACAGCAACGTGCTTTACGCCGTGAGGAGTGAGGAAAGCCACACCCAATTGGATGAAAATTTCCCTTTCTTAAAACACCAAAAAAAATGGAAGTTAGAAGGGGGCAGGGACTGGGCACATCTGCATGAATCTGAATGAATCCCTCCAATGCACGAATTTTTTTTCTAAGCATAGCAAAATCCAGGGCCCTGAGTTTGAGTCTATCTCAACTACATGCTGGGCGTGAGCCCTTGGGGAAGCTATATAATCCTTTCTGTACTTCTCTTTCCATATCTGTAAATTGCGAGCAATACTGAACCTACCTCAGTATTTTTTTTTATAAGGATTGAAAAGACAGAATACGTACACGTAAAGCTCCTAGCACAGCACGTTAGTAAGTGCTCAGCAAAAGTTAGCCTTTATTTCTCCATAGTCAGTATAGCAAAATGTTGTCCACGGACATTTAGATGAAATGAATTTTACAAGAAGCCTGACCTTTTTTGTACCTTCCTTTTGTTAAATGCTTTACTGATAACTAAAACTTTTCTTGAAAAAACATTTCTCACCTCATCTTAGTCTTACATATACCTAGGAGTTCCACATAATATAACTGACCAATTACATTCAATTTCATTTTGAGGAAAAGAAAACTGGAGGAAGCCGGAATTTTTGCCTCTCTTGTTGTTTCTATTTATGTGTCTTTGCAACAACGATAACAACACGGCACTGCTCACTGGATTTCTCTTGCTTTCACTATTCAGTACGACAGTCACCAAGAGGATGCTCTAATTTGCTAAATATCAGGTATCTACTCAAAGCCTTATAAAATTAATAATAACCTGGTAAATCTTATAAAATAAACTAATGGAGAAAAATTTCACACAGAGATAAATAGTATCACCAATATTACTATATACTTATATTTTAATATTTTTGCCTAAAAATTATAAGACAAAGCAAAATACACTGAGTATAAAGGTAAAATTGTTCCTGATAAAACATGTATCTCCTCAAAATACAATGCTTTTAATGCAAAAAAATCACCCGTTGACAGGAAAAAATATATATACTACTTTTCGGTCTGAACAAAATAAGGAAAGTACAGCTAAAAATGAAACTATTCAAAATCTTGGCATGTCCAGTAAAAGCCTTTTTTTTTTTTAAACTCTGGTTATTTATTTTACTTTATAACATAAAATGAGTATAAATGGAGGCTAATATTGGATAACTACTTTAGGAAAAGTTGGCTTAAAAAGGCCAAGGAAAATTCATCTGTTTTCAGAGAGAAATCAAACACGCTACATTTTTTTGTTTTGTTTTGCCATCATTTCTGATGAATACAGCTCTATGGATTAAAATTAAGAAGAAATAAAAAAACGTTTAAGTCAAGTGAATTATCTTAGAAGACTGGTTATGTCATTAGCTTGCTTTTGTCACCATGTAATGCTATCCTACCTTTAAAAGCTATTCAGGAAGAACAAACATACAAAGACAAATAAATATACACACTTTTCAGCTACAACGTTTTAAAAATGTTCAAGTTACCATTACCGGGGCGGGGTGGGGGGCAAGAGCGCTTACCTGAACACGGGTTAACCAGTTTTACAAACATAAGCCCACTTTTCATCTTCTTTGAAGCGTCTTTTAAATACTCTGAAAAGAAATGGTGAGTTTGTAAAATTAAAAGACATCTGTTTTGTTACTCACTTTACTTACTTTACTCTTTTTCTTTCTTCTGTTTTTATGATTTTTCTTCCTAAAAATTTTAGCTCTCTTCTATTGCTTATAAATTGTGTGATCTTATGCAAATTATCAACTTCTCTGTGAAGTGCAGTGGAATTTAAGGTAGTTTTAATTTACTTCTTTGAGAAGTGCTGAGGAGCAGGGCTCAGAAGGGTTAAACCTTGGCTCAAGCACCCGACAGCTCTGTCACCTCAGGCAAGGGTCCTCATGTCCCGTCTCAGCCGTCACATGTATAAAATGATGATGATAATATGTACACTTGCCTTTCAAAGGATTAAACTAGCTAATTTGTTTAAAGTTCTTATATTCAGGCAAACAGAAATAATAAATAATAAGTAATAGCTCTTATTATTATTTTTTTATTGTTACTATTATTATTAAATAGAACATTTAAAAAATCAATATGTACTGGACATTCATGTTTTTTGCCCCTAATTATGATTATCTACTCATGTCCTCTGCCCATTTTTCTAGTAGGGCATTCATCTTTTTTTTTTACTACTGTATTAGGAGTCTTTACACAGTAAGGATATCAAATCTGCTTTTAATGATATTATTTGGGGGGGTGGGGGCGACGGGGCGCACCATGTGGCTTGTGGGATCTCAGTTCCCAGACCAGGGATTGAACCCAGGCCATGGCAGTGAAAGCCCCGAATCCTAACCACTAGGCTCTCAGGGAACTCCCTGTTTTTAATGATTATTTCACCACTTAGGAGATATAAAATCTTTGTGTAATCTCATCAATAACTTCCTTCATGGTTGTATCTTTTGTGTCATACTTAGAAAGGCCTTCTCTCCCTCAAGATAATGTGAATTGCCCATATTTTCTTCTAGTACTTTTAGATTATAGTTAACCTATTTGGAATACATCTCTGTATAAGATATGGGGAGGAGATATCCAACTTTAAGTTTTTGCAATGAGTTGTCCAGTTGTCTCCATGCCATCTAACTGAATAACCTATGCTAAGTGTTTCAAACACATTTATGAGTCTGTTTATGGACACTGTATTTTGACCCATGAATCTGTGGCTATATTAGCATTAGTACTTCAATATTTTAATTATTGTAGCTTTAAAATACATTTTAATATCTGGTGAGTTAAGTCCTCTCATTATGTTTCCTCCATGATATTTTAATGTCAAAGTTTAAATCATACAGATTAAAACATAAAGACCATGACAATTTTATTTATAACATCCTCATACATTTTGAGTGGCATATTTAAACCCATTTAAAGAATCTCTCTCCAAAAGGAACCAAGGGGCTCTGATTAATAAGGGAGCAGAGCAACAATCGACCAAACAGTAAATCAGAAAGCTCTGAGGAAGGAAGGGAACTTAGTCACCTTTATTTTCTACAGCCCCACTCCCTTTATCCCACTTCAGATCTTCATAAACTTAAATATAGCAAGCATGTTTAGAAACTGGCTTACTGATAAATGGTGTAGGTACAACTTTTTTCTCAATAGTGACATTAAATATATAAAGAAAAAAAACCCTAATTTTGAGATTTTCACTTGCAACCAAATGGAATAACAGAAACCCAATTTAACAGCCAAAAAACAAAAACAAAAAGGACAAAATATGCAAAACAACTATTTTCAATACACTGAGGTTGAGCCATGCAGGACAGTTATCTGAGAGATGGGAAACAAATGAGGTGAGCCCTGTGATCGCCCCAGCTTACTGCCTTGAGACAGTTTCCAGGCCACGGTGCAGAATGGGAGAACCCAGGTGAAGCCTGGCTGACTCCCTGAGTTGTAGAGATGGAGCGGAGAGTTCTCAAGACACCATGGCTAGAGTTCACAGGTCAGCATGCAGGAACTGAGCAACAAAGAGAGAAAACCCCAGAGATCAGCAAAGAGTACTGCTTGAGTAGAGTATTCAACAGAGTACTGATCAGTGCATGCACGTGATGAAACTACCTAAGGGTAGGAGAAAAACCAGCTGAACAGATTAGAGGAAACAGTACCCCACATGCACTTGGGGCCCTGCACTGGGCCTATTCCCAGGCAGACTGGAAAACCTCATAATTCAGAGGACACTGGGTACAGTACTCCAAAGGGTCTTGCCTCAGTGGTAGGGGACAGACTAGACTAAATGTTGCTCCAGTCCCACCGAACTAATTTTAAAAGCAAGACCTAAAAGAATCAAACTGTTTCCAAGTGCCTCCACTGTGTCCCAGAGTGAAGCTCAAGATTATTTATAGGAATACAAAAATATTCATCTGCCAAAAAGGTAAAATTCACAATGTCTAATCAAATATTACTAGGCATTCAAAGAAGCAAAAAAATATGACCCATAATGAGAAAAATAAAGAAATCAGTTGTTGAGAGGGGGTACTGATGTTAGACACAGATGTTAGAATGAAGAGACAAAAGGATTAAACACAGTATTCCTCATGTACAAAAAGTTAAGTAGAGACACAGAAGATTTTCTAAAAAGACCCAAGTTGAGATTAAAAAATACACCAGATGCGATTAACGGTGGAAGAAAAGATTAATGAACTTGAAGACATAGCAATAGAAACTATCTAAAATGATAACACAGAGAAAGAAGAATTAAAAATAAAGTATCAGCAAACTGTGGGACAACTTCAAGCATCCTAATAATTTATGTGTGAATTGGAGCTCCTGAAAGAGAACAGGGGGGAAACAGAAGAAGTATTTGAAGTATGGCAGGACAGTTTTGAATTTGATGAAAACTATAAAACCACACATCCAAGAAGTTCAATAAACCCAAAGCACAAAGAAACAGGAATAAAATTATGCATCAGAATCAACAGTTCGAAACCAGTAATAAAGAAAACGTCTTAAAAGCAGAGAGGAAAAAAATGACATCATGTACTGAAGCACAAAGCTAAAAATGATAGCAAATTTCTTATTAGAAACAATGCAAGCCAGAAGACAATGGGGAAACATCTTTAAAATACTAAAAGAACACATGATGAACCCAGAGAAAATACCCTTGAAAAGTGAAGGTGGTCAATAGATTCTTTCAGAAATACAAGGGCTGAAAGAAACAATCACCAATGGACCCACATGACAAGGAATGCTAAGGGAAGTTCTTCTGCTAGAAGGAATATGAAACCCCATGAAAGTATGAATCTACACAAAGGAATGAGGAACACTGGTAATGGTGACTGCAGGGGTAAAGAATTTTTCTTACTATTTAAATATCTTTAAAGATCACTGGCTAAACAAAAATAACAATTTAGTGCAGGGTTTATAACATATGCATAAATAAAATATATGACAATAATAGCATAAAGGCCAGGAAGGGAGAAATGAAAATATACCATTGAGAGTTTCCTATACTATATGTGGAGTGGTGTTATATTACTTGAAGGTAGACGTAATCATTTAAATATGTGTACAGTAAACCCTAAAGCAGCCAGTTAAATTACAAAACAAAACAAAATGCTGTTACTAATACGACAACAAAGGAGATGAAACAGAATCATAAAAAGCACTCAATTCAAAAGAAGGCAGAAAGGGAGTAAAAGAAGTACAAAGGGGCTTCCCTGGTGGCGCAGTGGTTGAGAGTCTGCCTGCCGATGCAGGGGACACGGGTTTGTGCCCCGGTCCGGGAAGATCCGACATGCCGCGGAGCGGCTGGGCCTGTGAGCCATGGCCGCCGAGCCTGCATGTCCGGAGCCTGTGCTCCGCAACAGGAAAGGCCACAACAGTGAGAGGCCCGCGTACCACAAAAAAAAAAAAAAGAAAAAAGTACAAAGAACAGATGAGATAATTGAAAACAAATAGCAGAATGACAGACTCAAATCTAACCATATCAATAATCACATTCAATGTAAATGGACTGAACATCCCAATTAAAAGAAATTGTCAGACTAGATAAACAAGTAAGATAAAATTATATGCTTCCTATAAGAAACACCATTTATATATAAAGATACAAGTAGATTAAAAGTAAAAGGAAGAAGATAGAGTGTGCTTATCATGCTAACACTAAAGGAAAGATGCAATGGCTCTGTTAATAACAGACAAAGGATATTGCCAGGGATGAAGAAGGTCATTTCATAATGATAGAAGGGTCAGGAGGAAATAATCCTCACTGTTTACAATCACACACACTGAGCTTCAAGATACACAAAGCAAAAACTGATAGACACTTCTGCCCCATCTCTAACCCCTGGCAACCATTAATCTGTTCTCCATCTCTAAAATGCTGTCATTTTGAAAATGTTATATAAATGGAACCATACAGATTCAATTTTAAGAAATCTTTTAAGACTTTCCTTTCTGCAACTTATAAAAATGTAAAGGATAAAGTTTAGCACTGTTCAAAACTTGTCCACGAACTGAAACAGGTTGTGGTCTTCTCTCCTTTCCCTGCCTGCTGTTTCTCACTTCCCAGCATCATATTTCTTCATTACGTCTCAAGGCATAGAAAAGGTGACCACTCTTTTTTCAGCAATACAGCCTTTATTTTATTTCAGTATGACAGTAAATCTTTCAACTGTAACTTGGCAAATTATTATTGATTTCTGTTTTTCTTTTTTTAATAGAAAACTTTGGTTCTAGTGATCCTTGACAGCTCTTCCTCCAGCTTTCCCATTCCTCCAGAGCTTAAAATAATCAAACTTTACAAATATCCAAAATCTTAAAAAGATATTTTTAATAACTATTCAAGGGAAGCAGTGTTTCCATTTTTCCCAGGAAGAGCAGTAAGTCCAGAGGATTAGCTACAGCCTAAAATGTCAAACTATGAGAACTTTGGAATTACTAAGTACAAATAAATGCTGACATTAATGTGTTCTGCTGCAAATGCCAGTGTTCTCTGAAATGGGCTTTAAGATATATTAGTGTAGATAACACTGAAATGTCTATGTAACAGGGGAAAAAAGTCATCTTTTCTCATATAGAGCCTACAAAACAACTAGCTGTTGGA